CGGTGCGGTTGGCGCAGGATAGAGCAGGGTTTAGGGCTGTTGTGCATAGGGTCGCTATGAGTCGGAAACGACTCGACGGCACATAACAACAACACTATGAAATGCAAGTTTGGCAATGAGTTACATTATTTCTAGTTTTCAGCATAATGTGGCGGGGGGCCCCAAAACACATTACTTAGCATCCTGCCATGTTGTTGCAAGCTACAGTGAACTCAGAGCAACCCCATGCACACAGTGATCGGACCACTACAATCCACAGCGCCTTTTTCCACTGACTGATATTTGAAGTATATAGCTAGTTCTTTCTTCCTAGTCCACCTGAGTCTGGAAGATCCACTGAGAACCACAAAGCACCATAGTAACATGAAAGGCTTCACTAACAAGGGAGTGGTAACTGGGCACGAGATACATTGGCCAGGAATTGAACTCAGATCTCCTGAGTGAGGGGTGAGAATTCTACCACTGAACCTGAACCACCATTACAACATTCTCACAATCTTCTTCCCTTAATCCATAGCGATTACTGATGTGCAAATAACATCTTGAAAGTGCAACAAGGTCTATCTACAGTCACTTATGGATCAAGTTCATTGTATTTTTTAGCATTATATTCTCTAGTATGTTCTGATTTTTTTTTTGAAAGGAGCTTAATTATTGTTAAATTGGAAGATAATAAAAATTTCCATTCTAGATTTATTGTTCTAGGTATGCTTAATAACCCACAGTTAAATCAGAATTAGAAAAGAAATTTAAATATATTTTAAAATATATATTGAAATATAAAGATTCAGCTATTTGAACTTGAGTTAGAAAGGCCATTCATAGATCCAAGATGGCAGCAGAGGCAGAGACAGCATGGTGAGCTGCGGGAGCAGTGAACCACATAAAGCAGGGCCATTATGGCCTTCCACAGCCCTCGGCTTATTGATAATTGGAACAATTAAACAGTTGATGACTGGCCCTCAGTGAAGATCAAGGCTCAACAACAGAAATTCAAGGATTCCCAAGGAGAAATGGGTGAGTCTCGTGGCTCCCAGCCCCCCGCTGCAGAACCCTTGCTGCCGTACAGCCGCTGCAGCTCCATGAGGCTTCCACAGCCAGAACGAATGGATTCCCTCACCCAGGATGGATGCTGGGCACCGGCCATCCTCAAGACTGGTAAAGTGAAGCCACCACACTGCCGCAAGGTGGACTGGTCTGGAGAGAATTCTCGGATCCAGGATGGCGTCTGTGGGGGAAGCAGGCACCTGCAGGCCACCCACACAAGAGGGGCCGCACACCAGCCGAGCGCCCATGCGGCGGGGTGGGGGTGGGGGGTGCGCCCCCAACTGCCGCCTGTTCTGGGGGTGCCGCGTGCCTCCCACAGGCCTCCTGCGCTGGGGGCGGGGGCGCGCCCCGCTGGCTGCCTGCATAGGAGGTGGGGAATGGGATGCATGACCACCATCTGCAGGTTTGGGTCTCCTTGGACAGGCCATAGAAGACGATTACCTATGTATTGGACAGGCCAA